GAGAAGAACAAGTAAGAATTCAATCTTTAATTGCTTTACCCAATTGCATTTTAGAGCTACAGCGTGTAAATTCTGAATTTGTCACTCTTTAAAGTCGTCTTCCAAAAATTTCACGTCACTCATGTTTACTCTTCAACTACAGATGATATGATAGAGCAATTGGGATATACAAAAAAAGAATAACATCTGGTTCTATTTAATTGGCGTAACAAAGGAACAAATTCCTTGGTCTTATTCTTTGTAATCCTGATAAATATTTTTACTAAAAGATTTATCTTTTTTTCCCCCGCTAGACTAAGTTAAAACTAACATAGAATGGGCACAGAGAAAAGAGAAAAATGATTCTTGTTTGTGGGATTTGGTATTGCTTACCTTTGAAAATGAGTCCAAAGTTATTAAACTTACACAGGAATATTAACTTAGACCCTTTGCTTTTCTTTTCCAAGATACTAAATTACAGTACCCAAAAACATCACCATTTCTTTAAGCAACTTTTCTTCCAATTAACTCAATCTTTGATGAGTTAGCATTTTGTATTTCCTTTGAAAAGAAAAAGAACAAACTCAAAACAAATTATTATCACCGAGGAGTATGATTGGATGGATGAATTCACTCATAATCAGAGGTCTTGCGTTCGAACTTTGAAAATAAAAAGAAACTTCTCGTAGGGAAAATAAATTCATGAGCATGTATCATGTTTGCCAACAACCAACTTTCTGGACTTGTCTGGAACTCTCGATTCTCCTAGTCTTTTGTACTTAAGTACTCATGTGAAAATAGCATGGGTGACCACACTTTTCGGACTGGTAATTGAAAAATAGTCAGCATATGTAAAGTCATTAAATAACAACCACTAATTTATGCGGAGATAAAATCTTGAACAAAATAGGGAAAATTTCATATTAGAACAACTTGGCTCCGTCCTCTTTGTTGCTTCGTTTTGCGGCTGACCGGAGAAGAACAGGTAAGAAAATCTTTAATTGCTTTACCCAATTGCTTCACTAAATTATGGAAATACCAATGTTTAATAAAAAAACATAAAAAACCGGGAAGGGTGCTTCCTGATTCCTACCTGGATGTTAAGAATAAAGATTATGGAGGTAGGTTGTGACTAGTGGTTTTTTATTGTCAGACTTCTGGTGAAATCATAATATGATTATATTTTACTTTAAATGAGTAATATGCTAGGCATTTGTTCCTGGCCTATAGACTTCGGAGTGATGTCTCTCTTCAATTATGTTCTCTGCCTGAATTAGCTTCCAGTCTGCTGTGGATTTGCTTTGCTATCCAATCTCTTTACATATGTGATCTTTGGGTGATACCATTTTGTTTAACATATTTTGATTTGCATGGAGATTTTATAATATCAATTTGACTTATATATGACATGATCTTAGTGAAGACTTAAATTACTAGCTAAAGGAAATACTAAAACTGAAGCAAAGATTTGATAGGGAAATGGATTACTAATTGTCAAAATGAAGTTGAATCCCTAAAATTTGGATAAGCTACATAAGGTAGTATTATGGTTGAAGTATGTCAGCAATGTACCAAGTTAGAAAATGTCATGTTAAATGAGACAAGGGGGAGTATTAGAAAAAATGCGATTGAAATATTGAGTGCTTGATTCTGAATAATAAATTCATTTATGATTTAATACAGTGGTCAATATAGTTTCGACATAACGTTGGATGAGTCTGCAGTATTGTCTCAGGAATGAGAAGCAAAATCCTTTAGGATCATTTTTTTTATCTATGCCAGAGAAGGATTTGCAATGTTTTCTCCTCTAAATCCTATTGTTGATACAATAACGAGAAAGAAACGAAGTTCGGGGGACGAAGACGAAGAACAAAATCTACTTCAGAATCTCTCTCAGACAAGCAATAAGAATAGGAAAAATGAATGCCTCAGCCTTTATTTATAGGCAATGCAAGTGGCCCTCATGCATCCCCAACAGCCACCATTAACTACATGACCAACCGCACGCGCGGTTCAATTCCATAGGAATGTACGTCATTATGACAGGCTCCATAAAGCAGCCTTGCAATCACCCGTCGGCGTCTCGCCCTCGAAATGGTCATAACGACCTATGAATGCCGGGGAGGTGCTCCTTGCGCCCTAGAAATTTCTTTTGACACCGGCGAGCACGTATCAAGCGTGCCCCCATTCCCCTCGGCCGCACAGCATACGACCCGTCCGCCATGGTCGACGGGTACGCATCCAAAACAAACGTAAGGATCAGAGCACAATGCAACTCGACCTCACTCGAAGTAAGTTAAAAGGTCAAGCACCTTCGCCTAGGAGGAGAGTTCGACCTCGATCGAACGATGACTTGATAGCCCAATAACAGGATACTAATACTCTACAAGGATAAGGGCCATCGCCAAAAAGAATTCGGCCTCGACCGAAGCAACAGTCGACATCCCCATCCGTGTTTCTCAAAATACAGCCAATGGAATCCGCTCATCAAGCTCGGCCAAGGCCCGACCTCAATAAGCGGAGAGACTAACTGTATGGGTCAGAATCCGACCCCACGATAATCAACAAGGCTAATCCCGTCTTAAGCTAATTTATGATTAATTAGTGGCACGACCACTCCGAATTGACGATGTTCAACCCGCATCTGGCTCGATCTACAAAGCCATGGCCTATCCGCCACCATAAAAGCGAGATCCTCACGTGGTCACTGCCACTTATTGCCAGCTCACGAAGCTCACAGCTATAAATACCAAGAGAGGGAACCTTAGAAAGGGGGGGCTTCTTCTTGACCACTAGAGAGGGAGAAAAAAGAGAGAGAACGATATCCAAATTGTGGTCAAAAGACACACCACTGTAAGGCTCTGAACCTCTTCATGGAGAGGCAGACCAAACCAATATTATCAATAAAGGCTTCTAATGCTTCTCCCCCTAACTCTGAATACTTATTTTCGTCTTCTTCATTTGTTCCAATGGATTATTACGATTTGCTATGATTTTTCCGTGATTCATTTATATTGTTTTATACTCATAAGGTATGTAATAACTTTTGAGCAAACAGAATTAAAAAGAAATTCCCCAATAAAAAAATTCAATATATTATATACACCTAAAACCTAATAATTTTAAAGTCTAATGAACAAGTGGTGTATAATATTGCTTTTGGTTAATACAATTTTTTCTTTTAACAAAAAAAGAAAATGAATAAAATGCATTACGTCTTAATCAGAAATTTCGAGTTCAACATCTAGCAATAAAAAAATAATCTTGGTAGAGAGCGGTTTCTCTTCTAACTAGCCTTATACGTGCAGGAAAATTTTATTTTGTGTCTCATACAACTGACACTAGTTGTATGAGCTATCTTTTTTGTCTCAGATTTTTGTGGACCCAGAAGTGTAAGATAGGGGTCCACAAATTTGTGAGACAAAAAGGAGCCTCACACAACTAATGTAACTTATGTGAGATACAGTATAAAACTTCTCATACGTGCAAATTCAAATTAATCCTTGCCTCAATAAGAATATTTATCATGGGTGAAAACACCAAAAAAGGAAAAAAATGATGATCACACGAGGAAGAGTCTTCCTTAATCCTTAGCGAAGACATAGGATCCTAGTTTACTTGGACTAGTCAGCTAACATGTCACCAGAAAACATAAATCCTAGATTTATGCCACGTTTTATCCACTTCCTCGTAAGTTCCAATTAGTTGACTTTTCTCTTAATGCATACATTTGACTCAGTCAAATTGCTATCGCCATTTAGTAATAAAATTCTCCTTATATATATATATATAT